CCAACGTGCTACTCCCAAAAAAACCGTTGACAAATAAAGATTATAATCAAACCAGCAACAACAAACATTAACAAAATAAAAAACACAACTAGATACGTTGTTTGTTTTCTTGAGTGCTCACCCCAAATGAACATGAGGTTCTCCCCCATACCGACCCAGGGGTCAAGGTCACGGGTGAGTCTGTGGCGTCCGCCGCAGCCGTCTGCCCATTCCTGGGAGTAGTTAGCGATGGCCTCGTCCCAGATCTGTGGAAGGTGCAAGTACATGTAAGTGTATGGGTTTAACGCCCCTATCAACACTTTTAGGTTATTTATGGTGAGGAGGGACCACCGAATTTAAGCGGTCAGTCCCCTATAGGACCGAACCAAATGAACTGAGAGCCTTTCTTCGGTAAGTGTTTTACGGCGCTCGCAACTGCATAAGGTCATGCGAACGCGCGGGACACGTTACACTTTTTCATTAGGTAGGAAATGTTGAATTTTGCCAAGGTGGCGGCCGAGCCTACTCTTATCGATTTTAAACCACCAAGGGATCTTTAACATGCGCAACTTGCACACAGGTCCTGTGAGATTTTTTGCCCTTGTCTGAGAGAGTCAGGTGTAGATCTTTCCTACCAGAAGATCAGGGGTGTGGCTGAAAGACAGCAGTAAGAAGGAGCCAAAGAGTAGCAGTAGAAAAGCTGCAGAAAGAGTCAGGAGCCCAGAGGAGGGGGCAAAGGAGGCGAGGGGGTGGGGGCCGAAAGTGGAGACAAAAGCAGACGACAGAATATTGCTGGAGAGCAGGAAAGGAGGTGAAAGGAGACAATATTAGAGAAGAAAATTTTTCGGACGCTACCCGAATTCGAACCCGGGACCTTTGAATGAGAGGCCAACACTTTAACTTCTAGGCCACGAGAACCCTCCGTAGAGCTGAGGTTTTACGGCGCTCGCAACTGTATAAGGTCATATGAGCGCCAAGGGGTGGGTGTCAACAGAGTAGTCCTTACATGGAGGAATCAGACTTACTCTGCTCACCTCTCTAGCTTCAACAGCACAAAGTCTGCTTCGACTATCAAAGTACCCCGGAAAGGCTAGATTTAGATCTATTTGTGAATCTTAGATCGAGATCAAGAATCATTAAAGTAATCTTGAAAGTGGATTTTTCATGCTGTGAATAGATCTAGAAATCTAGGCCATCTGTGACGCCTGTCGGTTGTTAAAAATGTGAATTTCTAAACTTAGATCTATCTATGGGCCTAGGCTCCTTCTTTCAATTATTGGCCTGTGTCTTTATAATCCTTCGAGATCTAGACTAGATCTAGAATCTAGATTAGGTTCTTCTTGGAAGCAACAATTGGCATGTAGGCCTAACTCTTTTTTTAAAAGCTGATTGAGCTGGAACTTTAGGAGAAAATGCCACCCCTTCGAAGAGGGGGAAGAAGTCTCACCCCTAGAAGTAGTCAAAAGGTGGTGCTATATGGATAAATTCAAGGTAAAATATTTATGTTTTGTTTCTTTCCAGTTTTCAGTCTTTTTTCTCTTCTTAACTTTCCTAT